CTCAGTTAAGGTAAAGGTTGACCTGGTCAGTGAAGATACTGGCCCAGGACATAACTGCCCACCATAACTGCTTTTAGTTAAAGTTTAATTTCAGACCATCCTTTGTGGTTACTTTAGGTCTCCGAGTTTGCAAGACCGCCATGCAGGCCTCCCCTGAGCTTGTCAGGTCAGCATGTGGCCCCTTTTGTCCACAGTCTCCTAAGACTGTATGCCAAAAAACCTTTTTCCCGTGCTACCAAATCTGCCAGTTCACTTAACTGGGGCTGTATGCCCTATTTGTTTATAGGGAAGTAATAATAACTGCCATTTTTTCTCCAGCCTTTATATGTATAATACCAGAAGCAGAAATCATAACTAATATTTCTCCCTTGTAATCTGCATCAATAACTCCGGGATGAATTTGTAAACCTTTAGTCGTTAGACTACTTCTTCCTAGTAGCAATTCTACTGTTTCCTTAGGTAAAGGTCCATAAACCCCGATGGGTATTTTCTGTACCCCATCTCCAGGAGAAATAGTAAAATCATTAAGAGCTGGAATGTCTACTGCGGCACTTTGAGCGGTAGCATGAAATAAGTCAGAGACCTTCATTTTATTTTTCCATTCTTTCTGCTCGTATTGTTTTTCTTGGGGCCCCAAGCTAAGCCCCGAGTCTAGTTTCCCGACTGCACGGGTGTTAATGGGTTGCTGTCTTTATCTTTAACAGACCGGCATTCATTGGCCCAATGCTGCCCCTTTTTACATCTAGGGCATAATCTGGGAGCACGTTTAGCTTTCCCTTGTGAGACTTTTGCCTTCCGACAGTCCCACTTTCCCACATCCATAGCATTTAACAGGACGGGGAATTGCATCAGCAAGAAGATTAGCATTATAACTGTTAGAGCCAATTTCCCTACAACTTCGGATGTAGTCATCTAAAGTTCCTCCAGCAGCTTTAGCAGCTTGCAAGGCCTTTTTACAATCTTCATTAGCATTTTCAAAGGCTAAGGATAAAAGCAGTTGGGATTGGGCTTCCTTCCCATTTACAGTTCTTTGAATTGCCTTGTGTAATCTAGCAAGAAAATCCGTGTAGGGTTCATGAAGTTTTTGCATAACCTTAGAAAATGATTGGGCCTGGGTGCTGGCCTCCTCCATTTTTGACCAGGCCTTTAAGAAACAAGCTTTAATCTGTGCCATAACAGCATCCTCTAACAGCACTTGTTGCTGTAAGCTAATGAAGTATGGTAGCAATCATTTCAGATTGAAACTGTAGTTTAACTCTAACCCCGTTGTTTGGCTTAACAATAGAAAAGTTATTTTGATTTTCTAAATTGTATAAGTCATCCCATTGCCTTATTGATTGTAGCATGACTATCCCATTGATTGTGATCTTGTGAGGTCCCAAGACCCCCGGTGTGCCTGACGGAGAGGGCGACGACCCCAAGTCAAACGCCGAGACCAAGACTTGATGCAAAAGCAAGACTCGCAGAAGAGAGCGGGAAGCTAAACAGGGTTGGTTCGAAGGATGGTTCAATAGCTCACCCTGGTTTACTACCCTAATGTCTTCATTAGCAGGACCCTTAATTATTCTCCTCCTCCTCCTGCATATTAAACCGACTAGTCACCTTTATCCAGGACCGAATCAGTACGGTCCAGGTAATGGTCCTTCAACAACAATACCAACCTGTATCCTCAGATGAAGGTCTCTAGTTCCATGATTGAAACTCTCCAAAAGAAAAGGGGGAATGTAAGGCCAGAGAAAAACCCCCTCCTCCTATGTTTTAACTTTAACTTTAACTGACCTTTCCAGTAAACTCTGGTGCTCTGGTGTAGTCACAGCAGAGCTATTTTATCTCTTCCTGGGATCGGTTTATGCAGGACAGACCACCCTGGCCCCTCAGGAGATGAGTCAACTACTAACACAAACCAGACCTGTCCCTTCAAGAGATGAGTTAACTGTTAACCCAGTTTCCTGACATTCCAGGCCACCTGCGTGTGGCTTTTGCCCTGACATTCCAGGCCACCTGCATGTGGTTTTTGCCTTTATAAACCCATGTTCTGCAACTGCTCGGGGCTCCCAGTCAGCCAGCACTTCCTTCGGGTTGCTGCATGCCTGCCTGAGAGACCCTGCGC